GGCCGCAATAAGCTGGGAATTGTTGATGGCAGGTGGCCAAAGGAGAGATTTCGTGACAAGTATTGGTACTAGTAGAAAAGGTGTAACGCTATCATACTGTCGTGGTTGATGAACTAAGTTGCTCCTTCACTAATTAGTGGCATAGCTTATGCCACCACTGCACAAATATTGTGGTTGGATCTACAGGAGAGATTTGATAAGGTAAATGATACTCGTTGCTACAATTTACACAAGGAAACAACCACTTTATGTCAAGGTGCCTGATAATAGGCTACATAGACGATATTTACACCCTAATTATACCATGCTTTATTGTTGTTTTATAGGCTAAATGATAACAAAATGCTCTAATTGGTGTTCTTTTGCTTCGCAGGGACTAATCCAAGTTAGGAAGAACTATGGAGTATTTTGGAGTCAATAATGTGAAGAAAACATCTAAGCAAGAAGCACCCGAGCGGAAAGAATCAAAAAGGGGACTGGATTTGAATCCACGCGACCGCGGTGGACCGCGGTGGGACTGTGGCAGGCCACAAAACGCAGGCAGAATGTTATGATCTCACCGCGGTCGCGCCGCGGCCGCGGTGAACTGTGCAATTGCCCAGACTTTTGGGGACCAAAGTGTAACTCGGGGAAAACTTGTTCCAAACCCTTATAAACTCAAGAACAAGTGTGAGAAGATCAACCAAACATTAGAGTTTTTCTATCTCCTTTTATTTCTTGCAATTGCACATTATGAACAACTTTGTAGTTTTATCTTGTTTTGTTATGAGTAGCTAAACAATTGATCTAGGGTTGATGGAACCAATTGTTGGATGAAGTTTTGATTCAACTTTGTTATAATCGAGCCGGGTTTATTATATGATTGTTCAACTACGTTTTGTATGGTGATTAGTTGAATGGGCCCTTGATTAATCGTGTCTAATTGCCTTATATTGCTTGAGAAAGAATATTAGGTTAGACTGTTGTTGAACAACACCACTTTTGGGTAATTGAAGAGATTCATTACTTGAACTTAAAAGTGGGGTTAGAGATAAAGAAACTTTGGTGGGATAATTCAGAGCTGCACATATTGTCAGCTAGAGTAGTTCGAGAGAATGCTCTAGTAAATTATCGTAGTTGATCGAGAGATAATTACGATAACCCATAGCTCATAATCCTCATAGAGTATTACGGCGAGATTATAGCAAAAGAGTTAAGACTTAAACTAGCAATTGGGGAAATCAATGCCCTAGACCTTTTTACCACTGAATTGTCTTCGATTTAGCATATTGTTATTTTTAATATCATTTGAAGTAGTTAAACAAAAACCCAACCTTTATTGATAAAAATCTTGCATCTGGAAATTGTTTGAGTTGATAATAGCATTGCCAAGAGTTGTAATAGATAGGTTAGTTCCTTGAGGATTCGACTCCGGACTTAAAACCGGATTATATTTGCAACGATCGCTTGTCTTTTAGAAGACATAGTTGGGCGTGATCAGTACCTCATCTATCTCTGTCTATTATTCAAAACTTAAAGATCTCTAGGATGAATCTGAGTCTGTAATACCTACCCCTGGATGTGATTGTGCCAAAATAAAGGAGTTTATTATGCATCTACGAAAACAAAAAGTATATCAGTATCTAATGGGCCTAAATTACTCTTACTCACAAGCTCGTAGTCAAATTCATATGATGAAGCCCTTACCAACAGTAAATCAAGCATATGCAATGCTCATGAGTGATGAGAGCCAACGGGCAGTAGCTGCCTCAGCTGGTGTTTTAGGTCTTCCTCCTACTGTGAATGCAAATACCTATGATTCTATAGTCCAACTCGAATCCAAAGTTTAGAAAGAACTATAATGTTCATTGTGAATTTTGCAAAATAAAAGGTCATAGTAAGGAGAATTGTTACAAAATAATAGGATATCCCTTTGATTATAAGTTCAAGAAGAAAGGGGGAGCCGGTGCACACAATGTAATGATAGAACCTGGTTACTCCATGCTTTTATATGCTGATAGTGGCTCTCAGCACATGATAATGCAGTCACTACCTGTAAACTATGGTCATCATCATGCAATGGATCATGTTGCTGAAAACTACCAGGTACAAGGGAATTCTGGTTCTCAGGTTCAGGCTAGCTCTATCGCTTCACAGGTTCAAGGTGCTGCAAATGCAAAGCCATCAGCTCAAGGAGGTGGTTTTCCATTCACCAAAGAACAATACGAGTAAATCATGTAGATTTTGAACAGCAATCACAGTGGCACCTCATCATCTACTTCTCAGGCAAATACAGCAGGTACTATCATTACATAAAAAGGAAAGACTTAAAAGAAGCAAACATGAGTGTTTTTATTTCATTTTTTATTTAGCAAAACTTGCATACACCTCAGTGTAGGCCGAAAGTCGTTGGTTCTTCTGTTGCCATTGGCATGATATTGGCCCATTTAGAAACAAATACCATAAATTGGGACCAAATAAGTACAAACAAAAGGATGGATAAAGAATGTAACCATTATGATAATTTGGTAATCAGAACGGTAATTTCTCTTTTCTTCTTAACTCCACAAGAGAAAAAGTACAGAGATCCTGAAGTAGCTAGATGTCACCACTCTTGTTACCCTAATGCTAAACTCTCAACTCTTTACAACCTACATTATAATCAATAGTGGTGTTTGTAACTAATTTTCAACATATGAAGAATAAAATGCAATCACAAAATAAGAGAAAAATATTTTTACTAATCAATTGTGAGTACAATTCTGTTTCTACCTTGATTCTTCTCTCTTTATTATCTTCGTGATTCGAGGGCTGAAGCCACATATTTCTCGAATGTAGGATGATACAGACCTCCTGGGGATGTATTTGATCTCCAGCTTCTTGAACTATTTGATTGCCAAGAAGTATCCGGCCATATTTTGATCTCTTTGTGAATATCCCAAGAGTTTATGGGGTTTTGAGACACCTCTTCAAGGAAATATGTATCCTTTTATATAGGTGTGAGTTAGGGTTTAGGGTAGAGTAATCTCCAAGAAACACTAATAGATTCCTAGGATTTTAAGAGTCCTGTAGTATCTTTAATTTAGGATTTGGCTTGATCCCTTAAAATTTTGATGTCTACAAATGACCCTACTTCAAGGTTTGTTGGGGTGTAGGCTTGCCAAAACTTTAAGATGAGACTTGAAGTACTCAAGCATCACAACAAATGATTTTGAAACTTGTTGTTTTCGATTTACAGGAGGAAGAAATGAAGGGCAGAACTGATCCACTGGGCGTGCCAATTTGTTTGCAACTAATTTTCAACATATGAAAAATAAACTGCAACCATAAAAGAGTAAAGTGATTTTATTGATAAACATTGCGGGTTACAACTCTGTTTATCCCTTGATTGATCTTTCTCCATGATTCGAGGGCTTAACCAGCGTATTTCTCGAACGGTTATCTCAAGGAAAAGGAAGAACATCTGTTGATCACTTTGGTGGTTTTGACAAACACAATATTTGATGTCTTTGATCTCTTTATGAATATTCCATGAATTTTTATGGAATTTCGAGATCTCATATTTGATCAGTTTGTGCCTATTTTGAGAGTTTATGGAATTGCTGAGATGCTCTTTGAAGGACATATGTAGCCTTATTTATAGGCATGAATTAGGGTTTGGGTGGAGTAGCCACCAAGTAACCCTTATAGACTCCTAATATTTTAGGAGTTGTCTTGAATTTAGGATTTATCTTGATCTGTTAAAACTTCAGTATCTACAAATGCCCCCTACGAGGTGTAGGCTTGCTGAAACTTGAATACGAGACTTGAAGTACCCGACCATAACAACAGATAATCTTGAAACTTGAAGTTTTTGATTTACAGGAGGAAGAGATGAAGGGCAGAACTGATCCCATTGGGCGTGCCAATTTGTTTGCAATAAATTTTCAACATACGAGAAATAAACTGCAACCATAAAAGAATAAAGTGATTTTAGTGATAAATATTACATGTCACAATTCTGTTTATCCCTTGATTCTTCCTCTGAATTGTTATGATGCAGACGTCCTGGGGATATATTTGATCTCAAGTTTCTTGAACTATTTGATTTTCAAGAAATATCCGACCATATTTGGATCTCTTTGTGCATATTCCGGGAGTTTATGGAATTGATGAGATGCTCTTTGAAGGACATATGTAGTCTTACTTATAGGCATGAATTAGGGTTTGGGTGTAGTAGCCACCAAGTAACCCTAATAGACTCCTGATATTTCAAGAGTTGTCTAATTTAAAATTTATCTTGATCTGTTAAAATTTCAGCGTCTAGGGTTTTAATTTGATTTTCTGCCCTTGTAACTCAAACTTCTTATTTCATGGTTGAACAACTACTGGAACAACCTGTTGCGGAAATAAACTGTAAAAGAGTAACAATATGAAAACATGAGTAAATTATTGATAGGAAAAACAAGAAAACTTTTCTTATTTCTTTAAGTGTATCCGGTATGACTTATGAGGTCTTGATTAACCTAGATAAACACTAAAAGGGTATCATAAATATGAAATTACTCATTTGGTATTGTAAAAATGAAAACTTGTGAGAGTTATGAATATGAAAGGGTAGGAGTTGTTCTTCTGAGAGGCATAAATACCACAAATTAATATATTTATAACCATCCATTATTATGGTTCGAGTCACAAAAGAGCAATAGCTCCAACAAATGGGGGATCAAAGGGGAGGGAAATAAAAAAAATTTTAAAATAAAATAAAATGAAGAGCTCGGGTTTGAAACTTAATTATATAAATATTGATAGAAAACAGTTTCACTTTTGCAAGCCTTATGCGATATAAATCCAAATTAGTTGGAATTTCATGCAGGTATTGAACAGCCAGTGAGAGAAAAGAATTCATAGCAGAACCATCCCTTTGTTGTCATTTGAAATGCACTGTCTAACACGAAAATACAAAAGAAAAAGTAAATAAAATCGAGGTTCTAGCACGCTCTTCCGCCGCGCGTAGACTAAGAAATTTATTTTATTAGGCGGCATCACTTCACCACCACTGCAAATATTCCTGTACCTGATGCCTTTCCCTCTCCACTCTCCCCTGTACCTCTCTTCTCCCCTCTACCCTCCTATAAAAGCAGCAGAAATGCTAACACAGCCAAAATTCTCTCAATCGAAACCTTTACACTAAGAACCGAAGTACTATCTCCGGAATTCTCCAGAAGTTTCTAGAACAGTATATACCTGAAACAGCTACCAATGGGAGACTGTAACAGCGATGACTTCCGGACCTACACCTCCGCCACTTCTTTTGTCGACGATCGGCGATTCTCCAAACACGTTCATGACAATGTCCACGGCAACATCTATCTCGACCGTGTACGGTTTCTAACTCTGCTTTGCATGCTCTAATTCTTATCAAAATTGGAGTTCGTTTTTGCTTATCAGAAATTTTAGTTCATTTTTACTCTTTTTTGCTTTCGAAATGAACAAATTTGTTTCGGCAATTTAAGTTTCCTTTTCCTGCTTGAGTTGAAATTTCATAGCATATGCTTTCTAATTCCGTTATTCTGCTTTGCATGTTATGATCGTGTTTGCTTTTCAGCACGTTAATTTCTGCTCTTTTTGCTGTTGCAATTAGGTAATTAACTTTATAATTTGAAGCTAGAAAGGTTAAGTTTCAAAGCCTATGCTTTCTTGATTCCGTTATTCTGCTTCGCGTGTTGTAATGCTTATCAAAATCGGGGTACGTGTTTGCTTTTCAAAATACTTATATTTACTTCTTCTATTTTTGCTTTTGATTCGAGGAAATTGATTTGATAATTTTATATTTCCTGTTCGAGCGTGAAGTTTCGTAGCGTATGGTTTATAACTCTGTTATAATGCTTTGCACGCTGTAGTTGTTTCCGAACACGGTGTATATCTTTGCTTTTTCTAAAATTATACTTAATTTATGCTTTTCAATTGATTCGATGATTTGAAGTGTTTTGCTTTTTCAAAATAGAATTTAAATTATATTAAATATTTGTTTTGGCTTCAATTGAAGATATTAAATCGATGATTTGAAGTGTTTTTCTATTCAAGTTCCGTGGCTTATAGTTGGTTGTATGCTATGCGTGTACGCGAAAATATGTGTAGTAGTTTGTAAAGGCCGCTGATAGTCAAGTCTTTGTTTGGGCCTATAAACGGCTAATGTTACCATGGTTACCGTAGCAAGGCATATGGAATAGGGGCTAAATATGTTTTTTTATTTTATTTATGTCTCGCTAAATATGATTACGACCAGCGTGACTATCTCTTTTCATAGTCGTAGACACTTATTTAGTGGATATGTAATTATCTTTTGAGCAATAGTTTTTTCTTCACAAAAAGCTGAAAATAGAGTTTGTTAAAGTAACATAGAGTATATATACTGGCATGCATGATATATGGTTTTCCTGATATCTGCACTTAATTGATTAAGATATCAGATTTACTATATTCTTAGTAATATTTAACAACAGTTCTGCTCTTTAATTGCAGCTATCTCTGAAGTTCATTGACACCGAACAATTTCAGAGGCAAGCTTAATTTGTTTTTTCCTGCTCCAGATATTTTTGATTGGCTGGAAATAATTCCAATTGTGCTTTCTTGTGTATGTTACAGGCTTCGTGATTTGAAGCAGCTAGGTAAGCATATTCTTTATTTCTTTTATTCTTTTATTCTTTTTAAGTTTGTGCATACGTAAAGCTGATCAGAAAACTCTCTAATGTTTAGGATAATGAGTACTGGTGAAATTAAGTTTTTAAAGATTTGCAAATGTACATCTTTCAGGCTTGTACAATAGAATTGGTTGTGTGGTTACATTTTGTGTTTCAAACGGTTGTTGAACAAATTGCCGCTAGTGTATCCACTTTATGTCCTTCTATATTAGGGAATCTTAATAGGTTTCTAAGTATTTGGTATGATAAATTAGCTAAACTTGACTTTCATGGACAATTTACCACATGATGGTGTGGGCATCTGGACTACCATTAGCTTGACTCTCTGATTGTTATTTTAGTGTCAACTTGCACTTATTTTGAAAGGACAAATTCTTCCGAAGAATATTTTTTTCAGAGAAAGGCTAAAATGAAGTAAGAAACAAGATTTCTATAGATGGTGCCGTGCACCATCAACTATTTCTTTCAGCATGCCTGTGTTTCAGACGACTTCATCATATCTTGGTCATCTATTTTTGCACATCATAACTGCAAGTTGTCTATTACTAACCTTCTTTTAGGAAAGGAGGATAGCTAAGTTCTGGTATATTATCAATTAAAGTTACTGTTAGCAATTTGGTTCTTTTGGGTTAACAAATGCCACTTTGATCAAATTGTAAAGCCACTAAGGAAGATTTGTTTTTTGTTCCGTGTTGATGTTCATATCCGATATAAGTAATGTGGTGAGAACTTTCTCAGGAAGTTTATGCGCTCTCTATCATTTCTGAACTTTTTATTTTCGTGGCTTTACCATCATTTGGGACATAAACTTGTAATTTTGACTCGGTCGCAATTTCTCTCCTAGGTCTTACATACATGGTCTATCCTGGGGCTGTGCACTCTCGATTTGAGCATTCCCTAGGGGTCTATTGGCTGGCCAGTGATGCTGTAAACAGACTTAGGACCTGTCAAGTAGGACTATATCCTAATGGCATAATTTACATTATCTTGTCCCTATATTTGATAAGATCTTTTTGATGGACATGCCATGGCTGTAGGGACGGGAGCTTGGCATTGAATCTTTTGATGTACAGACCGTGAAACTTGCTGGTGAGTGAAATATACCAGCTAAGGTTCATTTTTCTCAACAGCATCTGGCCATTGTTCTTACTTGAGTTCATTTAGGATTACTACATGATGTGGGTCACGGGCCATTCAGTCACATGTTTGAGCGTGAATTTCTTCCTCGGGTTCGTGACGGCCTTAAGTGGTAATTGTTAATTAAAACTTATTCTCTCATTTTCATCAGTCAGAACTCAAAGATTTGATACAGTGAACTTTATTCTACATTTATCATGATGGCTACTTCAATATATAATTCTCTTCAATTTGTTAAAAAAGATAACTCCTATAGTGCTCCCCTAAGGAGATATTTGGTCCGGTTGGGACTATAAGTATTTCCTAGAATCTTATACTTATTGCGCATCAATGCATGATTATGGTGTTGTATTCTTCTACCAATCTGTGCCCTCTCTTCCATCTTGAGTGAAAATACTCCTCTGTCCTCTCATCCAAAAATTAGTCAATGACTGAAGAAGTCTGTTTGACATTGCCACAACAATCACTGTATTCATGGGTTATCCTTAATACCCCCCCCCC